TGCCACAGGAACAGGAAACTTCCAGGCAGGGCTAGAGGGTATAAAAAGACCATCTGCCCATGTGCTCACTCTTTTTTCTTCTCCTCTGCTGCTTATCTGTCTTCTGCAATAAACTGTAACCTTCTTCCCAAAGCAGTCGCCATGTTTGCTTATTTATTCCCGGCTTGGATGAACCAGGATGAAGACTTACCTTCTAACACTTTCCTTTTCTTCCCTTCCTCCTCTCCTCTCCACTCTTCTCCTCTGCTTTCCACTTTTCTTTCCTTCCTCCTCTCCTTCCCCTCCCCTTTCCCCTCTCCCTTTCGGTCTCCTTCGCCTCTCCCTCCCTTTCCCATCCCGCTCTCCTTTGGCTCTCTCTCCCTTTCCCTTTCCCATCCCCCTCTCCCTTCTTCTTTCCCTTTCCTTCCTTTCAGCAGTACTCCAAAGCCAAGAAGACATTCTGCTTTGAGGCTGGAGGATGTTTTCAGGACTCAGCCAGATCCTTCTTGCCTTGATCCTTCCCCCCCTGCCTCCAATTTTTCCAACTAACACTTTGGCTTCTTTCTAAATCTCTCTCTTCTACCACCACCCCATCTGAAGAGACCATTTGCCTTTTCTCAGGAAGTTGATGTCTGGGTAATAGTAATAATAATAATAATAATAATAATAATAATAATAATAATAATAATAATAATAATAATAATAATAATAATAATAATAATAATAATAATAATAATAATAATAATAATAATAATAATAATTAATAATTAATAATAATTAATAATAATTAATAATAATTAATAATAATAATAATAATAATAATAATAATAATAATAATAATAATAATAATAATAAAATTGGAAGGGACCTTGGTGGTCATCTAGCCCAACCCCCTGCTCAGGCAGGAAACCCTATACCAGTGATGGTGAACCTTTTAGAGACTGAGTGCACAAATTGCAGCCCAAATCCCACTTATGTATCGCCGGGGGCCGGGTGGGCGTGGCCTGCCAGGTGTGGCTACGGTGGTCATGGCAGATGGGTGGGCGTCGCCAGGGTGGGCGTGGCCAGCTCAATGTTGCTCGTGGGGAGGGACGCCTGTGGGGGCCGGGCAGGGTTGGGGAAAATCCAGGGGGTCTCTGGCAGGTGGGGCGGTGGGCAGGAGGCTCGTCCTGCGGGGTGAGGCAAGGCAAGGCAGGGTGGGGGTGCCATTGTCACAGGGAAAGGTGAGGCAGGGGCCGGGGCGGCTGCTGCCTGACACCCTCATCCCCCACACACACAGGCCAGCGAGCGCATGGATGCTGGGATGCATCCGGCCACATGGGACCTCAGCGAGTTAGCAGGCGGCTGGTGGAAGAGGATGGTTGCCATCTCCGGGCCATGGCACGCATGCCCACAGAGAGGGCTCTGAGTGCCGCCTCTGGCACGCGTGCCATAGGTTCGCCACCACTGCCCTATACCATTTCAGACAAATGGTTGTCCAATCTTTTCTTAAAAACTTCCAGTGTTAAAGTATTCACAACTTCTGGAGGCAGGTTGTTCCACTGATTAATTGTTCTAGCTGCCAGGAAGTTTCTCCTTAGTTCTAGATTGCTTCTCTCCTTGATTAGTTTCCATCCGTTGCTTCTTGTCCTGCCTTCAGGCGCTTTGGAGAATAGTTTGACTCCCTCTTCTTTGTGGCAGCCCCTGAGATATTGGAACACTGCTATCATGTCCCCCCTCGTCCTTCTCTTTATTATATTATAAACATACCCAATTCCAGCAACCGTTCCTTATATGTTTTATATCTGTAAGAAACCAACATCAGTAAACCTGGCCAACTAGCTGCTAATCCTGCCTGCATTCAGCTCTCTATAATTACTGTGGATGTCAAATAATAACTGGCAGGTGGTGTCACCTAACTTGAGTTGCTGGTGTGTTGTTTGTGAGCCCCTATATATTTATCTTTCGAGCCACACACATGTAATTAAAATAATCTGAATCATAGGGTGCATTTAAGGAGGAAAGGCTGGAGACATTCTTCATCTTACTTGTTTTCTTTTTCCAGCATTTGAAGTCTTGGACTTCTCTTCCCTGATACCAGAACTGGAAGTTATTCTGGCAGTAACTCAAGAATGCAGATACCTGGTAAGTGTCTCATGAGAACTGGGAATGCCGGTAAGAAAGAAAACAGTAACTGCAATTATAAAATGCCTTACAGAGAACATCTTGTCTTTCATTTCTCTCTCTCTCTCCCGCTATACTAGTGAACTTTATAGTTCCATTTCTCCATCCATCGTTTATATAATTAAATAGTGCAGAAAAAAAAGACAAAAACGAAGTAATAGGAAGAAAGTAACACAACAGTAAGAACAAAATTATATGTATCTCCGAACTCTTCTCAACTACGTAGCTATTATGTGGAAATTGATGGTTGGATGGTGGAAATGGAATTTCTGCACTGTTACTTCTAGAAACCTAGTCCTCCAGTGCTGGATAAATAAATTCATTGACCAGATTTCTTGGTGGATTGACGTCTTGATGTTCCTCGTGAGTCACTTACAAATGTAGATTAAGTACTATGTGGACAATTGCGATGTAGCACGCTCAGCCTTCATGAACACTGTTGTGGGAATTTTATATACGTATCTATTTGTAATATAAATAAGTAGGGGAAGGGGCTCAGGAACAACATCAGAACTCTCTATCCAGAAAAATGCAGTGCCAGGAAGGGTTGGGATCCTGCACAGAACTCTTAATTTCCCAGACTCTGATAGAAGACCTAAAATTGAGGAAGACACAGATCATCTAGAAGGGTGAGAAAGGAATTCTTATAATATGCTCCTGTTTTTTTTTCTCTCTTGTCTGAATATTGATAGGACCTCTAGGTCTCCTGCTTTGGGTCTGGAATAAGGGGCAGGGGGATAACAGAATAACACAGTTGGAAGGGACTTTGGAGGTCTTCTAGTCCAACCCCCTCCTCAAGCAGGAAACTATACCATTTCAAACAAATGGTTGTCCAGTCTCTTCTTAAAAACATCCAGTGTTGGGGCACCCACAACTTCTGGAGGCAAGTCGTTCCACTAATTAATTGTTCTAAAAGATGGGTCCCTTGTTATTATAACAAATACATCTGGTTTCGGGTTGCTTCCCTTTTGATTTTGCCCAACTAAATTCTCAAACCATTTCATCCTTCAAGTCCTCTTTTTTCAACTTCTCTGAGCCTTTTACCTCACTGTCTCTTAGATGGTGGCCTCTAAAAGCACAGTCTCTCTTCTGCTGCTTCTGTTATGATTATTATTATGGTTGATTATATCATAATTTCAGCCAGATGTTCAGACTGAATTTGGGAAGGAGTCCACCTATCGAGTCCTTTCCAAGAACCTGGGATAGGTAGATGTTGATGTTCGATGGTGTTAGAGGTACCGTCGCAGGATCTAAGCTGTTCTGAGTAAAGCTGCCTTTTGCAATTGACTGGTGGGGATTTTGTCCGTGCCGATGGTGTTCAAATGATGCTCCAGATGTTTTGGAATTGCACCCAAGGTGCCTATTAATTATTGGTACTGCCTTTGCTTTCTTTTGCTACGGACATTCTATTTCTATTTGTAGGTCTTTGTATTTTGTTATCTTCTCCAGTTCTTTCTCGTCTATTCTGCTGTCTCCAGGCACTGCCACGTCCACTATCCAGACTTTTTTGTCTTTCTTATCGACAATTGTTAAGTCCGGGGTGTTATTTGGCAGGTGCTTGTCTGTTTGAATTCTGAAGTCCCAGAGCAGTTTAATTTTATCATTTTCTATGACTTTCTCTATTTTATGATCCCACCAGTTCTTGCTTACAGGCAAATGATATTTCTTGCAGATCTTCCAATGCACCATTGTTGCTACTTTGTCGTGCCGCTGCTTGTAGTCAGTCTGTGCGATCTTCTTGGTGTTAGAGGTACCGTCGCAGGATCTAAACTGTTCTGAGTAAAGCTGCCTTTTGCAATTGACCGGTGGGGATTTTGTCAGTGCCGATGGTGTTCAAGTGGATGTTTTGGAATTGCAGCCAAGGTGCCTATTAATCATTGGTACAGCCTTTGCTTTCTTTTGCCACGGACATTCTACTTCTACTTGCAGGTCTTTGTATTTTGTTATCTTCTCCAGTTTCTTGTTTTCTACCCGTCTTGCAGTTTGAAGCGATTCTGAGCGGCTCATCCTGTAAGATGCTCCTAAGGCAAGCCAAGACTTTTGATCCTACAGTTGACTTTTTTGCATTGTCTTGCGGATCCTCTTTCTCTATCTGTGCTTCTGTAATGGGGTGTGTGAATGACCTTGGGGAGATGAGGAAAAGAGGTGCTGCCAAGGAAATGGTCAGATAAGAGAGAGAGAGAGAGGAGCCCTCAGTCATTAAAGTCAAAAACCTAGGAAGGACCTACCCTAATTGATCAACCAGTTAAACCTGACGGTGGGAAGTTTGTATCTTCAGACTTGCAAGATTCTATCAATGTAGCCTTACTATAAAGTCTAATCAGCTCTAGTTGCATTTCCTGTCTGCTAAAATATTATTATTATTATTATTATTATTATTATTATTATTATTATTATTATTATTATGATGATGATGATGATTATGATTATGATTATGATTATGATTATGATTATGATTATGATTATGATTATGATTATGATTATGATTATGATTATGATTATGATTATTATGATGATTATTATTATTAAGTTGGAAGGGACCTTGGAGGTCATCTAGTCCAACCCCCTGCTCAGGCAGGAAACCCTATACCATTTCACAGTGCTTTTTTTCTAAAAAAAAAAAAAAAGGTGCTGGAACTCACACACATCATACAACCCGCCTTGCCTACCCTACAAGGTTCCATCCAAAAAAGGTGCTGGAACTCCATTCTGGGTGTTCTATGAGAAAAAAAGCCCTGCCATTTCAGACAAATGGCTGTCCAGTCTCTTCTTAAAAACTTCCAGTGTTGGAGCATTCACCGCTTCTGGAGGCAGGTTGTTCCACCGGTTAATTGTTCTAACTGTCAGGAAGTTTCTCCTTAGTTCTAAGTTGCTTCTCTCCTTGATCAGTTTCCATCCGTTGCTTCTCGTCCTGCCTTCAGGCACCTTGGAGAATAGCTTGACTCCCTCTTCTTTGTGGCAGCTCCTGAGATATTGGAACATGGCTATCATGTCCCCCCTCGTCCTTCTCTTCATTAAACTAGACATACCCAATTCCAGCAACCGTTCCTTATATGTTTTAGCCTCCAGTCCCCTGATCATTTTTGTTGCTCTTCTCTGTACTCTTTCTAGAGTCTCAACATCTTTTTTACATCGTGATGACTAAAACTGGATGCAGTATTCCAAGTGTGGCCTTACCAAGGCATTGTAAAGTGGTATTAACACTTCACGTGATCTTGATTCTATCCCTCTGTTAATGCAGCCTAGCACTGTGTTGGCTTTTTTGGCAGCTGCAGCACACAGCTGGCTCATATTTAAGTGATTGTCCACTAGGACTCCGAGGTCCCTCTCACAGTTACTACTATTGAGCAAGGTACCCCCTTGCTCTAGTAATGTCCTTCCTTCCACTACCTCCTCTGGGACATCAGAAAACGAGGAATAAATTTTATTTTTTATTTATGTATTAGTATCCTGTCTTAGTTGTTTTACAAGTAACTCCAGTGGCAAACATATCCAACATACCTTTCTCTTCTTATTTTTCTCACAACAACGGGATTCAGCCTTCCAGGCTGGGAAGGTGGGGAGATCCAACACAAAATAATTTGGCGTCTCCTCTTCTGTTGATTTGGAAAGTGCCGTTCAGACAGTCCAAACTAAAATTGACTATAAATGCCTTTTTTCGGGCCGCCACCTCACTGTTAATTCTTACTCACTTGGCAGTCAAAGGGCCTTACCTGTAGAAACAGAATAATTAAACATCTCCCATACAAGTATGCAATCGACTTACGATTGCAACCGAGCCCAACATTTTCACTGCTGAAGTTACTAAGTTGGTAACATGTTTGTTGAGTGAATCTGGCTTCTCCACTGATTATGCTTGTCAGAAGGTTTACATTCAAATTGCCTAGCACAGGGGTCTTCAAACTTGGCCCTTTTATGACTTGTGGACTTCAACTCCCAGAATTCCTCAGCCAGGCATGCCTGGCTGAGGAATTCTGGGAGTTGAAGTCCACAAATCATAAAAGGGCCAAGTTTGAAGACTCCTGGCCTAGCATCTGAATTTGATGGTAGGGATTCTGCGACAATCGTTAAGTGGAGTAAACAGTCATTTTTTTCAGTGTCATACCTTTGAGCAGTCACTAAATGAATCATTGTGAGTCGAGGACTATCTATAGTCTACTACAGGAACTTGGATGCTTGGATTGGAAAATAGAGCGTTCTTCGCACTGACTCTCCCCGTATCCTGAAACTCCCACAATCTGAGTAAAATTATATTTCTGTTTCTGTTGCCTTTGTGTTGATATTTTTTTTCTTAATCTTCAAATTGATCTTAACTATCTTCACAGAAGGTCCATCTCATTATTTGTACAGATTATTTTCTCTGCTCGGATTTGTTTTGACTCTTCAATTAACCTTATAATCCCATTATCTTCTCGTCTTGCCCAACTCTGCTTGGCTTCTTAGTCAGATATGACCACTCTGATCCTGCTGAAATATTTTGAATCAGAGTTTACTCATTGTCAGCTCGATTCTTAGGGCAGAGGCAAGATGCACATTTAATCATTCATGCCTCATTTGTTGACAGTACACAAATCCACTTTCTCGGGGCTTTAAATATGTTGAAAGGGGAGTATTCAAGTCTGCAATCCTCAAGAGAAATGTTTTTAAAAGGGAGGGATCAAACTTGGAAGCAGAAATGAAGTTGATCAGGATCCACCAACCCTTGTGTTCTTGGAAATGTTGAAAAGATTTGTTTCCTGAGCCAGAACTGCATATAATCAGTGTGATATCACTTGTTCTCTCAGATTTCCCCAGATACCAAGATTGACGGTGAGGTGAGGTGGGATGATATGATGTGCTTCATATTTAAGGTCAGATAATTCCCATCCATCAATGTTTAGCAAAGAAGGACTATTGCATCCTTCTATTTTGCAAAGTTGGGAATCTCGAAGGAAGATCTGTAACTTAGAATGGGTAGGCTT